ACAAGTTCTTTGGTAATGTAACACATTGTAAGCATCATGTATAACTAACAGGTGAATTTGAATTGGAGAAATCAGATGCATTTCCACACCAAAAGTTATATCCCTTTAGCTATGACTTACATCCTTGCCTTATGTTCCATCCAATTTGATTCACGTTGAACTTGGAAATGGGAAAGGAAAATGGGTTCTCTTTTGTCCATCTTTGCTTGGCAGAGCCCAGGCTCAATTTAGATACTCCTGCACAAACTGATTTTACAGGTCCACATGACCAAAATTCCCATGGCATCTTAACACCTCTCCAGTAAGCTTTCAGAGGAGACTCACGCTTTCACATTCCAAACGACTGACTGTGGTATCTGGACCTGTACTGTCAAGTTTGAGATTTGTAATGGTTATCTTCGTGCTGTCTTTCGTAGTACTAGCTTCTTGCTCTTCGCTGCTAATCTACTGGTGTGTGGGTTGGGGCTCATAATATATTACTTTGCCCTAGTATAGAGTGAACCTTAACTCCAAAAAGCTAAAATAACCAGACATACATAGCTGGACATCTTGATGTAGGTTCACTCTATACTAATCATGATTGCAGAGACACATTAAAATAGCGGCCTGAAGTCTTGATTGTGATTTTTATGTAACATGTAGTAACATTGGACCCTTGATGGAGATCACAAAGATGGGGAACAGAGTGGCCAACTACCCCATTCATCAAGATGCACAAGTTCTTCAGACACAAAATGCAAATTCCCTTCATGCACAGCAGGTAGCCATACTTGCAATTTGGTTTATGTTCAGTAATTTTGTTTTCTATTGCATATGTAAAATTTCTTCTTGAGAAGAATAGTTCTTTTAGTTTGAAAAAAATTGCTCATCCTGCATCTATCCATAACTAAGAGTGAGTGGATGTAGCCATAAATAGGCCCTTTGGTGATCTAGGCCACCTGCCTCTTGAGTCAATTGATAGGAGTGGATATTGCTTAGTTGTCAATATCGATGGCATAGACAAGATACCATCGTTCTACAAACTGGAACTCTGTTTAAGCAATCCGGTTTGGACCCCAACACAAGTGTAGTATGTTGGTTATCACTTACCAATGAAAACTAATGGTCCTGGTTGATGTTGTTTTTTTGTTGAGGAACTAGTCAGGTAGTGCCGTAGTGGCTTAGCTTAAATCTGCCTGATTTGGTCACGCCCTGCTCAGATGTCTTCCATATTAATTAAGATTTGCTCTTCAAAGAATATTCTGAATTCTGAAATACATCTCTTTAGTGCAAGAACCATATGAAACTCTGCAAGAATGACAACATTGGTAACTATTAAAAACGAGGACTGCCATTTGTGGACCCTTTCTCAGTTAACGCCTATTTTGATATTCCATACATTTGAATCAGCATAGGATTGGCTGCCCAAATGAACTTTTAACAGAGAATGGTTTCATGCTAACATTTTATTTATCTGCTGAACCGTAGAGTTATCTGAAACCAGCCTGGTCTTGAATATCCAGTTAACAGCAGCAATTGATCAGTCAGCACCTCGATGAGAAACTTTTCTAGTATGTTTATTCTTTGGAATTTATATTTCATAGTTCTTTCAACTACCTAAGCTGTTTGAAACAAATGTTTCCTGAAATTTCTGTTGTCACTTGTCAGGCATGATAATGATATAACTTTTCTACATAAATATAGCTATTCGTGATTGAGACTTCAATCAGTTGTTGAAATCTCTTTGAGAGCATGGAAATGTTGTTTTATGTTGCTCCCATTCGTTTTAACACTATATATACATATCCACAATTGTCAGCTTCCAAGGCAGCTTCCTCCGCAAATGCTTCAGAATTTGACACCACAGCAACAGCAGCAGCTTCTGCAGCAGCAGCAGTGGCTCAGGCGCAGCCAGTTGTGCAGCCCCCGTGGTCCTCTTATGATGGCAGACAAGAACCAGCCTATGGTGAATGTGAAGGTAGAGAACACTATGGATTCTCAAATCGATGGCCCATATGGATCTTTTACTAGACAACAGCAATTTAATATAAGGCAGCAGCAGCAACTATTGCATCAGCAGCAGCTCCAGCAGCAGCAACAGCAGCTCCAGCAGCAACAACACCAACAACAGCTAAATCAGCAGCAGCAGCAACTGCAGCAGCAGCAGCAGCAAATGCAACAACAGCAGCAGCATCTCACTCAGCAGCAGCGACTACAACAGCTTAATCAGCAGCAGCATCTACATCAGCAGCAGCACCTTCAACAGCAGCAGCAACTTAACCAGCAACAACTTCAACAGCAACAGCAGCAGATGACCATGTCAGGAAATCAGAATGCGCAACTAGCACAGCAGTTCAAACAGGTCCCATCAATGTAAGATCAGCTGCACAAGCCGTTGTTTTGACAGCTCCTGTATTTTCATTTGATTTAACCCATGATTTCCATTGCAGGAGTGCATATGGCATGCGAATGCCACCTGTGAAAGTAGAAGCCTCCCATGAATTGGTGAGCGGAGACTCTTCGCTGAAGCATGATAACGACCCTAACAAACTCACTTCTCCAAAGTAGATCTCTTACATATGAGGGATACACATGCCGTGTATGTAGCTGTGGTGTACAAAGGATAGCGTTTGTGATCTGTTGTTGCTTTCCTGCCCCCAACATCACATGTCTCGCCTGTTTGTTTGCGTACAGCAACAAGACAATCCGTGTATCGTGAATGTGAAGTATTTGGCTAACTTCATGTCTTTCAAACAGATTTATGCCATTGGCTAATGTACTGTCGTTAAACAGCTTAATGTCGAATACGAACTGATAATAGTACCAAATCGTCATACATTCTGTACTATGGGATTAAGAATGTGCGCTGTCATCAATATATAAATTAGACCTGAGCATACGGCCGAAGAAAGACCATTCATTTTCATGCCGAAAAATTGTGGCCATGATCATTCCACGGGTTGCGTTGGGTCGTCATTTTCAGGCCGGGCCTGGGCTTGGATGAATCATCCGTTAATTTCATTACGAAAATAATTCAAAAAAACATATTTGGCTGGGCTTAGGTCAAGACGTTTTTTAGGTTTATATTTTGTTGTCTTATCTGTGTCATTTCAACCCTTAAACTCGCAAATCGCTCATTTTGGTCATCAAGCTTGTTCGACTGTGTCATCCCGGTCCCTAAATACCTTGAATGTTGTAAATTGTAAATTCAATATATATTTATAGAATTGTCCAAAAAATATAAATCCAATTTTGGTAGACTCTTGATAACATGTACTTTGAATTAGAATAAAATAAATCACAAATATATGACATTTATTTATAGCACGGAACAACATACAAAAATGTACGTGCAGAGTTAAAAACAGAAAGTACGGATGATTTTTTATTTTAAAGTATATGTTACCAACAGTCTAACAATTACAATTTTTGGATGTTTTATAAATATATATTGAATTTACAGCTTTACAACATTTATAGCGTTTAGGGACTTGATGACACAATTGAACAAGTTTGAGGACCAAAACAGATGATTTGCAAGTTTAGGGACTAGATGATATAGGCGAACAAGTTTGAGGACCTAAACGAGCGATTTACGAATTTGAGGATCGAGATGCGCTAGTGAACTTTACTCTATTATTATTCTACGTGGGAGAGTAACATTGACGTTTTTGTATACTTATTTATGTTTGATCCGTGTTTAATGCAAGTGCTCCTATTGATAATGTAAAAAATAATTCGGTTTAAATAAAACACTTCAAAAATAAATGGGCCAGATTCGGATGATGTAACCTTTTGCAGCGTGCAAAACTTTTTTTTTGTACAGTTGCTTGATTTTACACGTGGCGCGGCCGTAGCCGCGACAAGCACACATGTCGGTGTAGGTGACGGTGTCGTCCTGACATCTTCCACATGCTAACATGCGGTTCGTTATCCGAGCAAACGGAGCGCGCCATTGCGCCGCCGGCTGCCGGCCAGCGGACTGGGCAATCCGGCGTGGATCCTGGTAAGCCAGCGACAGAAAAGCTTCCAAGATCAATCACGGTACAATATTTTTCTCCTGCATCAAAACAGCACGAACCGGCTTATGAACCGCAAAAATCCATCAGCCGATCACAGAATTCGCCCTGCGCAAGCAGGGTTCTCATCATCGTCTTTCGTCCATCCATTCCATTCCAGAAGTCAAAAACGTGCACGAGTTTTTCTTCGGGTTCTAGATAACCCGAGAGCATAGCTAGCCGCCTAGCCGGGCAACAGCAGCAAAGGCGCCGGATTCCTCCCGAAAGCCCCGGGCAACTAGAGCGATTTCCTCCCGAATGCACGTGTCTCTAACTCTATCCGCCGGGGCTTTCGGTTGTGGTTTGCGACTGGAAGCGAAAGGTGCGAGAGGCACGCATCACGCATCCGGGGCTTTTCTTGCCCGGATCATCCGTCTCACTGTCTGCTTTGTCACCTTTGCTCCTTGTGTGCGGTTCTCTAATCTCTACCCACCCAGTTACCTCTAGCCTTTTCAAAAAGCTCAATTGCAGTGGTGAACAAGGTGGAGAATAGATTCCCTTCCCAACCGCTGCACTTCACCGGGCAAGAACTCAACGCCAGGCAATTCTTCTCGATTCAGTAGCAAATTAAAAGCAATAACATGACAGATCGTACACACACGCGCGCGCGCGCGGAGATCACACACACTGACACGCTCGCTATCAAGTATCATCTCGATCGAGATACATGATCTCAAGCTGGAGGCTGCTGGAATGAAGTACCACTAGATACATACATACATACATATATCGTTGTCAATAGGTTCTTCTTCTTCCTCGACCGGATGGAGCTGAAGCCGCTCCTGTCTGTACACAACCGCAAGAGCAAGAGCTAGCAAGGCCGGGCCGATCGGATCCTCTCTTCTAGTTCTGGGCTTCTAGCTGACGAAGATGATTGAGGGGTCGCAGCAGCACTCGTCGATCAAGCAGCAGCAGCAAAGCGCGGCCAGGCTGCAGATTGATTAGATGTCGCAAAAGTGAGCGTCACTTAATAGAAATAGAGTTGAAAGCACACAGTGACACAGTGACAGAGCTAAGCTTGTGGCAGAGGATCAAAGAAGAGTTGGCCGTGCGTGCGTACCAGCCTTCAAGGAAGCTCGGCTCCCTCCTGGGCGGCGGCGCGGCGTACTGCGGCGGCGCCATCACCGGCGGGCCCTGGTACGGCCCCTGGTAGTAACCTTTTTTTGTATACACAAACCAACAAGAAACGAAATGAATCTGTCAGCAACAAATCGACCAAGCGATATCCTTCATTTCTTCATTCACACAAATTAGATCAATCAGGAGATCGATTGATCAGAAGACGGAGCATGATAGTATTAGTTACCTTGTGCAGGGTAGGGGTTGGCGTACTTGGGATCACTCATGGTGTCTCTTCCGGGGAGGCTTAGCTTAGCTAGCTTGCTCTTGGAAGCGGAAGGGTGACGCTACGGGATGCCGATGCCGACAGCAGACGGGAAATGGAGCAGGTGTTGGGCTCGCGGCTCGGGCGTACCTCATCACTTATAGGCAGACCGAGAGACGTGTCGCGGCCCCAGGCCTCACGCATGCGTGTTGGACGGCCAGGGAAAGCATCTGGAAAACCCGCGGGAGAGGTTGAACCGGGCCGGAAAGGAGCGGCCTCAGCTGGCATATGAGCATGGCGGCTGGGAGGCGTCAGGCGTGGTTGGGGTTCGTTGCGTGCGTTACGTTGCTTCGGTGCCAGTTTTCGCATCTGTGCCTTGCCCTTTTGGGTTTTTGCTGACAAATGCGCGTGTTTCCGTTCCGTCTCCGTGTTTTTCTTTGGAAGTCCGGCCGGCGGTCAGGGCCACAGGCTAGCCAGCAGCCGGCATGGCGGCGGCGGCTTCTAGATCTCACTAGCATCTCAGAATGGACCGTCTCACTAACATTTGTTGTTCTCTGGTCAGCGATGGCGTGATTTGGTGTACGTACGAAAGCTGTTTGGGTGAGATGAGGATATATCTTTTTAATAATGTGATTTTCAGGATCCCTAACCCATTCAAAGCGGCCTGTAACCATGTGCTTGGTGGCCTGATTATGTACGTGCCAACTGTTGCTCATTTCTGGGTTTCACGGATGTCACTGCCAAAAAAAAAAAAAAAAGGGGACCACAAACATAATGCAAAATTGATGGACCAAGGACGCGTCGTAGATGGCAGCGACAACTAACGCCCCTGATCCGAGATGTAACATGTTTAATTTACGTATAATCAGAATCAAATTATTTTAAATTTGAATAAATTTATAAAATAATATCAGTGTTCATAACTTTAAATAGATAGATATACCATTAAAATATATTCCATTACAAATATATATAATATTGTATATATTAAGTATGATAAGCATAATATTTATTTATATAAATCTGATCAGACTTAAAAGGGTTTGATTTAACATTGTTATATGGAGTTGCTTTCTCCATTCCAAATTATTAGACATTTTGGTTTCTAGATATACAGTTTGTGCTATACACACTTAGATATATACTGTCTAGATACATAATATTAAAATGTCTTCTAATTTTGACGGAGGAAGTATATTCTTTTTGATCGGAGGTAGTAAAGTTGGATGAATTGCTTCTTCTAGTTCTTCGGATTTCAATGTTGCCTATTTAAAGCTCTCTCGGTTTCAAAATATTAGGAGCATGTTGTAGTTGGTTATATGTTAATTAAAATTATAAAGTCTCTAGGTTTGATCCCTACACCGAATTAGAGGTTTTCGCGGTCGGTATGATTAAACTAATTATGTCATTATAAATGTTCTTCAAATTGTGTGAACTTGATTACAGTCAAAGAAGTTTGATTATGCAGAAGACAAAGCCCACCCACCAGTTAACAAAAACGGGGTATTACGAACGTCGCTTCTGGGAATGTTACTTCCTGCGCTCGGCCCATTGGTCTCTAAGCCCATAATACATTAAAGCGAAAGGACATCGAAAAAGTCAAATTTAGAGCATCTCCAATAGTTTCCAAAACCCACTCCCGATCTAGATATTTTGATAAGATTATTAAAAAAACAGCTCTCCAACAACATGATATCTCAACTAACCAGTGGTTTCTAAAAGAAAAAACTAATCACAACCAGTAACGTTTCTTACTTTGAAAAGAAAATTGTCACATCCAAAAGATGCCGCATGCAAGAATGAGATCCAGAAGAAACCTTTTCTTACATATATAAAACAAAGATTTTCTCATGTTTTTCCTATTTTATGAATATTTTTTAATCGTATTATCTCTTAGGAGTCAATAGGTGATAATAACTATCTAAATCTAATTAAAGGGACGACTCACGGTTGTTTGAGAGTATCCAAATCTAATTAAATGGATTGTTTTGAACACTTACTGCTGTAATTAATCGCGCTTCTGCCACATCCAAGCTCCATGCCAGAACATGCATATACGTACTCCACAACATTAGCAGCGAAAGTAGCATCATTAGCTAGCAGTTTCATACAACACCGGGCATCGGAGAGTTACTTTGAATCATTGGCTTGACTGTATTCAGTCATTCGACTAGCTATGATGAACCAACATTTTTCGTTCCTGCTCGACAGATATAAGTAGTTTTTTTTAAAGAATCAGACAGGAGATCTACTAACTATATTTAAAAAAACTTAGACCAGGCACTAAAGCAGAGCAACAAAACCTCCAAAGAACATGACAACAAAACAACAAGCTAGCAACTAAACGTTAGCAAACAGTGGTCGGCTAGGTTTTAACCTCAACTCACACCGACTCACCATAACTCTAAACCACTGCATAGAGATCTAAATCACTATATAACCGTCATCGCTCCACAAGCACCATACCACAGATAGAAGTAGTGATGTATCGATAATTAAGCCAACTTCTCTAACGTAAAGAAGGATGCTTTCTCTCCTTTATAAAATGCAAGAGGCTGGTTTTTAATTTTATTTTAAAGCAATTTATTTTTTAACTTACAAATTTGTAAAAAAAGTACACCAGCATTTCGTTAAATCCATGAGTAAATATGTTTTAAATACTGGTGTATTTATTCATCATTTTGGATATATGTTAATATCTACAACTAAAAAGCGTCAAATGTTTGGGTCTACCCGGTTGGATGAAAGCCATCCAACATTGTAAGAGCATCTCCAATAAGAGCCTTCAAATCAGGGCCCCTACTTTTGGTTTGAGGACTCTCTTATTTTTTTTGAGTGTCTGCCCTCAAATCAGAACCCTTAAATCCATTGCAAAAGATAATTACACACGAGACCCACATATCCTCTCTCTCTCTCTCTCTCTCATCTATTATGATAATACGTGAGAGGAACCGCGTTGAGTTGGACTTCGTCGTGGTTGTGTCGAGGCGATGGCTGCCACACTGGGGAGGGAGCCAGAGGGAGCAGTCTCACACGGAGGAGGGGAGGGAATCGGACATGGCGGCCTCGTCGGAGAGGAGGAGAGGGAGCGAATCGGGGCGGCCTCGCCAAGAGGAGGCGGATGGCGATGTCGAGGAGAGCGGAGGAGGAGGTCCACTGGCAATTGGGAAGTAGAAGAGGAGGCCGCGCCAGTGGATCCGTGCTCAGGTGGGGGTGGGGAGAAACCACCACAACAAAAAATTTAGAGGCCTGCTCCAGGGCCCTTAGGAATGCCCCTACTTTTGATTTGAGGACTCTCGTATTTTTTTGAGTGTCTACCCTCAAATCAGAACCATTAAATCCATTGCAATAGATAATGACGCACGAGACCCACATATCCTCTCTCTCTCTCGTCTATTGAGATAATACGTGAGAGGAACCGTGTCGAGTTGGACTTCGCCATGGTTGCGTTGGGGCGATGGCTGCCACCCTAGGGAGGGAGCCAGAGGGAGCAGTCTCACCTAGAGGAGGGGAGGGAATCAGATGTGGTGGCCTCGTCGGAGAAGAGGAGAGGGAGCGAATCGGGGCGGCCTCGCCAGGAGGAGGCGGATGGCGATGTCGAGGAGAGCGGAGGAGGAGGTCCACTGGCAATTGGGAAGTAGAAGAGGAGGCCGCGCCAGTGGATCCGTGCTCAGGTGGGAAGGGAGAAACGACCTCAACAAAAATTTGGGGGCCTCCTACAGGGCCCTTAGGAATGAAGGCTCGGGGAAAGATTTGGGTGTCCACCCAAATTTGAGGGTCCTAGTAGGGTCCTGTTGGAGCTGTGTTTTTGGCCTAGGCATCTATATTTAGCTATGAGAGCTTAAGTAGGGGCCTTTCTAGAGATGCTCTAAGTTGTGGGGATTCCATGCACCCCTCCCGCCTTCCCACCGTCGTCCTTCCCCACATCAGCTCCCCTCCCTTTCCGTACTAGGGGTTCCATTGTTTGAGCGTTGTAGCACTTTGAGATCTACATGTGCCAACCATGATTTCTTCTCCCAGAGTTCTCAGTCTAGCGTGTCTGATCTAGGGAAAGATCTGTGTGTGAGTCTCCCAAATTCTCTAGGTGCAACACAACTGCGCTCTTGAGGTACTAGAAGAATGCTTGTAAAGTAGGGAGGTCTAGAGTTCTCGCGATTGCCACAGGCAATGTCCCTGTGAGATCGTTGTTGCATGGGCTATCCTCTTGGTTCTGTGGTTTCCTAAGAGTTTTTAGTGGCTTTGATCCACTTAACCTTTGGGGCTCTAATTCCTTCCCTAGAGTAGACGAAGGGGTGCATTCTGGTAAATACCGAAAGAAGACTCGTAACGTCTCCTTGAGTTTTGTTTTCCTTGAATGCCTCAATGATCTAGCGGTGTCATGGAGGATCTTGTGTGTGTGCAGCGGTCAGGAACCTGTGTAAGCAAACTTGTCTACATGTGTACATAATCTTCTCCTTTAACATTGAGCCAATTGGTTCTTATTGACGGTAGTTAACAACCATTATAAACCGTCAATATAACATGTATAAGGGCATAAATATGATCACCAACAAAGGTCTACGGGTTTAAACTAACAAATTCCACGAGTTTTGGTGAATCTGTATTTTCTGCAGGGCTTATCCAGAAAACTATCAAGGTGGACCTATATGTCGGAATTAATTGCGCTTATTCGCAGCGAAACGGACACCAGAAGGTTCCAGAAGACTCGAGAGGACTCCACACCGAAGCAGACAGCAAGACGCTACCAGGTGGGTACGGCCGGCCCCAACTGTAGGCCGCCCGGCCCCCTAGGGCCCACATGTCAGTCTCTGTGGTAATGTCGGTTCTCCACCGCCTCCTAGGTTGCATCTACGTCGTCCTTTAAGTCGGTTTGATCCAAGGGCTCACGATGGATGCTCTGGCCTATATATACCAGCCCCTGCCACCCTCCAGGCAGATAAGTCATTTGATAAGACAGAAACCCTAATCATTCTCAAAGCTCCAGCAATTCTAGGGCATAGCTAGTTAGGCTAGGTCTAGAGG